AATTTATCTTGAGTGTACTGGGTGGTGACAAAGATTCCAAATCGGCCAGCATATTTTCACTGTGTGGAGAAAAGCCATTTAAAATCAGAGATAACATTGAAAGGAAACAATAAAACCTGACACAAAGGGGAGGCATGAAGAAAGAAGCATCCTTGAATGTGGTTCCGACATTCACAATGTTCTAATTTATTTCTCTGAAAAGGTGTTCTCATGTGTTTGTTCAGCTTGTCAAAAATGTATGGGTTAAAAGATCTGTTAAAATTTTTATCAGTAAAGTTATCTGAAAAATTCCATGGAAAATTACAATTTTTTTCCTCCTGCAGGAAATTAAAAATAAATTATGAAGATCTTTTAAAAAAATACTCGTTCAATTACTTCCAGTGTTATTTTATGACCCAGTTGTATGGCAATAAAATAAAAAGGAAAAATATATAAATATTAAAAGTTGTTCATTATTCAATAGAGCAGTCAGCATTGGGAGGCTACCAATTTAATGGAAAAAGATACTTCGGGTTATTTCTTTAAGTGTAATATTGTAGAGTTTTCTGTAACATTGACAGTTGAAGTGACATTTGCAAACCCTAAAGTTGAATTGTGCCAGTACTGCCTACATATTTGAAATGATCCATGATAATGATAGCTCAAGGGTAGTAAATTCTCTTCCCAGTACTGTATGGAATATCATCAAGTGTCATTTTCTATTAACTTTGTTCTCCTAGTCAAAGAGTAAATTCATTTTCTAATTTGAAACTAGCTATTTGTGGAATTGAGATATTTTTATGACTTAGATTATTTGTTAGGATGGCTAATAGTGTTTAACCGTTTGCCAGAATTTCACATACAAAACTATATAAATAAAACATGGAATATTACATATATAATTAACTATATGTGAGTGTGAGCTACATTTATTTATTAATTTTGCTTCTCACAACCAACCCAGGAAATAGGTTATGTAATTATAGCCACATTACAGATATGGATATTGAGACAAAGAAATAAAGTAATTTGCACAAGTTAAATTGCAAGTAGCTGAGAGAGAATATGAAGCTGGTTTGTATCTAAACTATGTGCTTTTTAATAACAAACACTAAACCCAAACCTAACCATTAACCCTAACAAAAACCATAACCCTAGTGCTAAAACCTTGCTCCGGACCTACCCCTAATCCTAATCCTAGTATGAAGCCATGACACTAGCCCTAACCATAACATTTAACCCTAAACTTGGCGCAGACACTGGTTATAACACTTGCCCACTCTAAACCTATCCCTAAAACCTACAACCTAACCCTAAATCCTAAGCCCTAAACCAAAGCTTCTAAACCCCTAACCATACCCCTAGCCCTAACCCTACCTTTATCTCTAACCCCAATACCAACTCTCACCCTGTAACTCCAACCCTAACCTCAACCCCAAATCAAACCCTAAGCCCTAACCCTTACTCTAATACCTGATCTTGACCCTAACCTCTGACCTACACTGAACCTAAACTTAAACCTTACCACAACTCCTAACCTTAACCCTAACTCCTAACCCTAAGCCTGTCCTCTAAAACTAACCCTTAACCCTAAACCTAATTCTAAACCACACCAAACTCAACATCAACCCAAACACTAATCCTAAACCTTACCCTATACCCTAATCCTCAATCTAAACTTACACTAACCCTTATCCAAGCCCTATCCTTAACTCCTAACCCCTACCCCTAAACTCAAACTACCTAACCCTAATACCCTAACAATAAATTTCAACTCTAACCCTTACACTGAACACAAATCGCTAACCCCTAATGCTAATCCCAACCCTCAACTCTAATCCCCTAAACCTGACCCTAGCCCTGACCGTGAACATGACACTGACCTTGGCCCTAACTCTAACATTAATCCCTAAGACATAAAAGTAAACCATAATTGAAAACCAATCTTAACTCCAATACCAAAACCAATGCTTAATCCTACCCTTAACCCTACCACTACCCTTACCACTAACGCTAACCTAAACACAGCCTTAGTCCTAACCCTAAACCCTAACCTGACTTTGATCATGACACTGACCCTCATGCCTGATGTTAAACCTGACCCTAGTCTCTAACCCTAATTCCAACCATAACTCTAACCCTAACCCCTAGCCCTAGCCCTAGCCCTAAACCCCTAACCCTAACCCTAATTGCCCTCCACTCCTTTTGCTCCTGAGTCCAGGATACAAACAGGGCTTGGGAAAATGACATCTCTGATGCCCCACCCTTGAGGAGACACTGAGGATGGCAGCAAAAACACTACTTCCTTAAACTTCCAGGAGATTGTGGGCACCCCATCCAGTTTCCCCTGACTGCCTCTGTGCCCAAGTCAGGATGACATCAGAAAACTTCCCCCAACTGCCTATGTGACTTCTGCTTCTATGAAAACGTGGATATTACAGTCAGCAGCACCCCCATATCAGCAGCTCCCAATCGCCAGTTCTCTCTTTTCAGGGGACTGCAAAGAACCTCGCCAGGCCACACCCACTGCCCCACCGTCACTCCAATGAAGGCACCCTTGACAGACTGTCCTTGCTCCTGGGGATGGTGTGAAATGCTGCAACCACACCACACCCTGCTGCTCTACAGTGGGAGGATGTGATGGGGACACACCCCCTCCACTTTCAGAATATAGTGGGGACTCCAGCAAACCAACTTGCTGCCAACATGATTCCTAAGAGACAGAGTTGTTGGGGTTTTTTGTTTTGTTTTTAGTAATCCCGAGTGTCTTGCAGGAGACAGGTATTGAGCAAGAAAGAAGAAAGGGGCTGCTGCCTAGTCACTTTCCAGGTGATCATGGTGAATTTAACCCATATCAAACCCAATCCTAATCCTAGCACTGTCTATAAACACTACCCTAACCCCAACCCTTAAACCTAAATCTAACCTTGGATGATGAACAATCTGGGCCCAACCTCAAACTTAATCCTAACTCTAACACATACTCTGATGCAACATCTATAACTAATCCTTAACATTAACCCTAATCTTCACCCTAATGCTCACCCCAATCTAAACCCCAAACCTAACTCAAATCTAACCCTAACTCTACCCTTCACCCTCATCCATCTGCCCTGGCTCTACCTGAATTCCAGAAAGTAGATGGGATACGTCTTTCCACCCAGCTCTGGACTCCTCAGGCCAACTGCTTCTGTCCCAGGTTAAGACCCACTCAACAGCTCTTTCCCAATGCATCTGGGGTATTTTGCAGCCTAACCTACAGGGCCTCCCCCTACTTCCGCCCCGAGGGAGGCTCCAGGGTGAAAGCTGGTGCCAGGAGAGCTGGGTCAGGAACATGAAGCAGAGATTGCTGATTCTGCACCAGGCAGGCTAAGGAACATCAGGGGTCCCAGCTTAGCATGGAGGCACAATTGGTGCTTAATTTTAGTTCGTGGACAACTCTGTTTGTGAGAGGCCAGCGAGCCCAGGCCCTGAAGATGTTTTTCCTGGGACTGCTGAGCCTGTATTGCACGAACAGCATGTGGTTTAGGGGTACTTTTTCTTGTTCAAGAGGAGCAAATGATGCTACGTCCATGAAAACGAACCTAGAGTTGGCGAATTTATTAAAAGTAATGAAGAAAGTACATGAAATCTTTTAAGCTTTTGAGGAAAAACTTAAAAATTATAAAAGTAGCTAACCCCTAAGGAGGTGATTGTGTTAGGACTCCCTGTCCTCCTTTGCCTGCAGGTGAGGTGGCAGTGAGGACATGATCCTGGCTGGGAAGTGACTTTGTTGTCCTATCTTTCCTTTGTGAAAAGCTTCTGACTACTTCTAAGGGGCCTGGAGACTCCATCTTTGTCATCAACCCCAGAAATGCGGTTGGTTGAAGTACCAGCCATATTTGGCACAGTCAGACAGGGAAAAAGACTTCTGTGAGTCCATTTTTAAGTTAAATATTTTCACAGGTTCAAGGACTTTGGGGGAAAGACCCCACGTTGTCCTCATATGAAAACTTTCAATATGGCCTTCCAGCAACTCTTGCGTGCTGGTGCCAAGGAAGCAAACCTCCCAGGAGGTATTCAGGCAGTGGTTCCCACCCACCAATGGTGCCACATTTCCATGTTTAATTTGGCTGTGAGATTTCTCAGGAAGAGGCACTGTGTGATTGACGGAATGCTAGAATTATGCACAGTTCCAGAAATCTGAACCTCATTGATTTCCTGAAATTTCTTACCTAGTTGTACTTTGAGGGCATTTTTGAGTTGTTTCTGAACTAGGCTCACATTTGGTGCCCTTGAATCATTCCCTGACAGACTCGCCATGTGACTGCCTGGATCTTTCACAGAGTTAGACCCAAGACTCATCTGAAGACCTCTCTGGGTCACTCAAGAGATGATCTTTTGGGCCATTCTCCAGGCTGTGTCCTTGATCCTTCCTCACATCCTTCTTTAGCAGAAGCATTTCTCGAGGACCCTGTGGGGCAGGCTCCATGGGTGTTGGATGAGCCTCTTTTGAAGGTGGTGCTCTAGTTTCTTCCAAAGCTCACTGCTGAGAGGAAAATCTCCAGGAAGGATAGAGATGGGAACATAAGCCTTGGAGGACTGGCCAACCAGTGTAAGCTTGGGAGCTGGAGGACAAAAGTCTTGCTGAGATTTCTTGACCACAGAGGATAAACTCCACACGATTTCCTGTTCTTTCTTCAACACATTCCATTCCAGGTGGTGAATTTTAGGTGGCAGAAGACACTATGCCACTTTCTGTGGTTTATGAAAACATATCCACACAGCCTAATCTGGGATTGAGGATCAGGTGATAAGATTGGGAGTGGGGATTGAAGTTGGGCCTGGGACTGAGCTACCTCAAAGGACTTAGGATGAAGGAGCTGCTGATGCACCTGCAACTCTGCTTTGTCTTTGATGGTCCAAAAAAGAAGGGAAACTGTCACGTCACGCTTATCAGCAATTGACACTGATATTTTTGCTGAAGAATTTACTTGGTAGTCTGACTTCAGTTGCCTTGGAAGAGATCCCATTTTCTTTTCTTTTTCCTTCTACAAGTGAAAATCTCTCCTCTTTTTAACTTGCCTCTCCAAGAGTTCTAGAACTTCAGGCTTGAATAAAGGGAAGTCATTAGGCTCTACGAGGTTGGCTGCAGGGTTTCCCTCAAAAGAGGCCTTAGAAGGATCAGGGGCAAGAAGCTCTGGTTTGAGATCATATTGTGATGAGCTGGAGGGGAACAAGTCCCTGGCATGAGGCTGACACAGGGAGAATTTTGCATGAGAATCAATGGGACCCATCACCTGGGATACATCTGGTGAAGGGTCAATATCTTGGAGAAGTATGAGGTCAAATACAAAGATGGTCTTTATAGAAAAAGTGGGCTCTCGTTGGAGAACAGGCCAGTCCTCCAAGGTTTATGTTCCCATCTCTATCCTGGAGATTTTCCTCTCAGCAGTGAGCTTTGGAAGAAACTAGAGCACCACCTTCAAAAGAGGCTCATCCAATACCGGCGGGGCCTGCCCCACAGGGTCCATGAGTCTGTGTCACTGCTGAATCCTCTGAGAGATATTCCTGAGACATCCAAGTCAAAATGCCATTATGGACTCTCATGGATCTCTCTCTTTAGAGTTCAGAGCAGCAATGATCCGGGGAATTTTGGATTGAGTTAATCTGGAAGCTTCCATGAGAGATGCTCAGAAATGCTACCACTAAAGAAGGGTGTGAGGAAGGATCAGGGACAGACCCAAAGAGGTCTTCAGATAAGAGTCTGGGATCTAACTCTGTGATGAGGTGGAGGAGGGCGGAAAGCAAGTAGCTGGGATGGGGCATCATCCACTGGTAATTTGAAATCTAAGGGAGGAACAGGCTCTGGCAGCAGAGGGTCATCCAGTGGCACAGGGAAAGGAATTCAGGTAAGGGAGGCATCAGGTCAGGTGAGGAATGGAGGTGGGAGGTGGAGAAGGCTCAGGCAGAGGGGCTGGTATTACTTTTCCTGGAGGGCATTCTGAGAGGGTGGAGGGCAAAGTGGATGGTGAATGTGTCTCAGAAACTGGGGAAGCCAACAGTGACACAGACGGTGCAGCATCCTCCAGGGACTTCTGGAATAGCACTTTCATGAACTCAGCAGCCGTCTTGTTGCACACATCGCAGAAAGAGTCTGGACATAACAGCTCACAAAAGGTCATGGTATCATGATCCTCATCCCGGGGGCTACAGGAGACAAGAGGTACAAAGCTGAAGCCAGGGCCAGAACAAGGAAAGGGGGGCCTGCTAGCCTAGTTGGGGTGGGGTCACGTGAAACATGTTACCCACCCTCACCATGCCTCCCACCCATGACTTCACAATACACTCTCTAGCCTCTCCCCACGGCCTTATCCATTCCCCATGGCTACCCCTCCCATGACAGTGGCAGGGAGCACTGAATTCCTGAAATGAAAGGGACCAGGAAAGAAGGGGGAATATTAATCACCTTGTCAGTATAGCAATCAGCTTCCTTTCCTTCTCTGTTTTCCTCTGGCAAATTCTCCTGCCTGGGAAACCAGGAGAGTAGGTTATATGTAAGGAAGGGAGAAGCCTAAGGATCGTACAGGAGTCCCTGTATGGGAGACCCTTGGAATATTAGTCTCTGATAGCCCCCAAAATCAGCAGACAAGGTCAAATGGTCAACAATAATATTAATGAGGTTCACATGTATCTGTGGCCTCATTTATAAAGTACTTTTACAGACATTATCCCACATGATGTTGAAAACTACCACATGAAGCACAGGCATCAGTGGTCACCTCAAAGAGGAATCTGAGCACCCAGGAAGTCAATGTACTTATGTAAAGTCAGGAAACAGAAGTCCTGACTCCAAACCAATTGATAATCCTTCCTAGACATCTCACATGGCCACCTATTGGGCAACACCTACTGCCCAGGTCCATCACTCTACTCCTTCATGCCCACAGATGGGCAAAGCAGGGACCCTAGAAGTATCTCAGGTCCCACTTCCTTTCCATGAGTTCTCCTCTGAGGGTTCTGTTTTCTCGGGGAGACTGTATCTAGCAACTGACATCCTCAGGGATCATGGACCCGGGACCTCATAGAAAGAAGAGGAAAGCTCACCCTTGGAAAGCTTGGGTCACACAGACAGGACCTTACCTTTCAGTGTTGTACCTCTCCTTCTCCTCTTGCCTCTGCCTGGATGCTGAGAACAAAAAGAAAAGAGTAAGAGGATGGGACTCAGTTCTCTCACTCTTCTTCTCTAGGAAGCTCAGACATTCATTATCCATGGATAATATGACTCTCCATTTTAATTAATAGAAATTTGTTCCTTTTATCAATTTTTAAAAGTGATAAAATATTTCCAATTTTTCCTTCTTTGAGAAACTCAGAGGATGCAAAATTCCTACTTGATGTTCTCAGAAGTCCTATGCTATAGGAGAACACAGAATCAGAAGCCAACAGTCACATCTCCTCCTCAGAGGACCCTGCATCCTGGGGCAGAGTTTGGAGTCTCTCGACATTGCTCTCCTGATCAGCCCAACACCAAGGAAGTCTTGACTGAGTGATACCTGACATGAGAATGTGACTCAATATCCAGTGTCAGGAGAGACTGTTCTTCTTCAGAGAATCCACACTTTCTAAATATGCCAATCCAGGACCATGAAATCACTGTGCCTAGGGTTTTATCTGGGAACTCTCCACCACACTCAGATAGTAGCCTGTGAGCCTGAGATGGAAACCTTCATCCTCCTGAGCCCCAGCCCTGCCCAACCTCTTCCCCTAGAAGAGTGATGTCCTATCAACCTCTAAGCCAACCAAACTCACTTACAAATGTGCAAATAGGAATGGGAGACAACAATAAAGAATCTCTCTTGGGTGTTCCTTACCTTCTGGACTTCTTTATTTTCTCAGGCTGTTGACAAAAGAGATTTCATCACCAAGTACCAAAGGTGCAGAAATAGTAACCCCAATCCACCCAGAAATGTGAACTGGGGACCCATATCCAAAATAGTTGAGCCGAAGCTTGGCCATGACACAGTGTAGCTAGTGTAGCTGTTCAGAAAATGCATAGTCTCCATGATCTGAAGAGCAGGGCTGCCTGAAGCAACTGAGTGCTGAGGGTGCCCAGGCTTGGCTATAGTCCCAGGCCTGCATCACAGAGCACAGGAGAGTCACAGAGGGTTTTTGAGGGCAGGGGGAGGGGACAACAAAAAGGAAAGTGTGGCATGGCCCCTTCCCTACACCCCCCCAGCCCAGCAGATCCCTCCACCCTTCCTGGGGTCTTGGGGTCCTTCTGCCCTCCCCTGCCATCCCATTTTCCAACTCTACCCTTTCTTCATATCATATATATTTGCCTCGGTGAAATTTTCTGTTTGTTTTATCCATAATCCATATATTACCTGAGTCCCCTGTTACTTTGCATAGCCCTTGACTTGGACCTTGAAAGTCTGAGATACTACCTGCTTTTCTGCTTGTACCCAGATGTTTATACTCTCAGGATCACACAAATCCTCAAGGTCATATTATCTACAGAATGCTTTTTGCCTTTCACTAAGCCGGATATTAAAAAACCTAAAGTTCTTCTACACTTATTTAGTTTCATGACTACTGAATAGTAAGTGTTTTTGTTTTAAAGTCAGCCTTCACTATTTTCAATCAGAAGGGCTGACTAACATAATTAAGCCTAATTACTCAATATTCAATATCCACAAAACAAAAGTAAGTATAAAATAATATACATAATTAAGACTTCTAGTGATTTTGGGGTAAATTTATAGCACTTATTTTTCTTCTGAAATTAGTGAAGATAAATTGTACAAAGATCTTTGGGGCATGTTCCATACACACACCCATCCTTTGACAAAGGAATCTGGTATTTTCAAATCCAGGAATCAATCATTTCCTTCTTTTATTTCAATTGTTCATTCTCCACACCTTTTCTAACCCTACCTAAAATACAGATAGTCCCAGCCCACTGCATCAATTTTGTAACAGGTATGTGACTCCCCCAGGCCATGCCTAGGTCACAGTGTGCTAAGCTATTGACTTCCTCAGGCCTCAGGGCAGGGTAGGATTTAGTATTGTCAAAGCCTTAAGGTAGAATCTAGTCTTGAGCAGCCTCACTTGATTATCCTATGGGCCATGTAAATGTGATCTTTTCCTAAGAATGCCTTGGCACCAAAAAAAAAAAAAAAAAAGAAAAGAAAAGAAAAGAAAGAAAGCTTAAAAAGATCTGCTCTGAATAATCACCCCTGCAAATGTCCAAATATCAACCACCTGTCACACTTTATTCAGACTCTTCTTGTCTTCTTGTCAGGTTTAAATAACCCCAATATTCCGCCCCATCCTTTTTCCTACACCTTCTTTTCTAAACTCTTTATCATCATGGCAGGGCCCTCTGAATGGTATGCTAACTTCTCATATCTTTCTTAAACTGTGCAGCCCTTTATTTGACACCATGGGCCAATGCTGTTACTTGATCTCTTTTGAAGGGGTAAGGCAGCCTTCAAGCCTGGCCTGGTTCTTCTTTCAGTGATGCAGGAGCAGGTAACCTGCCCTGAGGATAAATCTGCAAGAGGTGCCACTTCTTCCTCTCTTTGATATGCACACTCAGTCAAGTTTTCATTTAATAAATATTTCCTTCTGGAAACCAGGAGACATAAACCTTTATCAGTTGGGGCCTCTGCACTTGACCTCATAATGCAGTGTTAGCATTAAGTCCTACCTAGCTCATAGTTATACAGATACAGGGGACAGGCTTCCCTACCCCCAACATGTGTGATTGCCAAGGGGTTTCTGGAACAAATCAGATACTGTGGGTCATTACAGCGCAAAGGCATGACGCTCCTTACCAAAGCATCCCTGAATGTCCTCCATCCCCAGTTTTCTGATATGAATTAATGAAGCTTTGATAAAATTGTCAAACAACAGCTTTTCTCTTTTAAAATGGCATTCCTTGGCTAGATATCCTTATTAGCAAATAATTGTCCCAGCATTCCCAACTAAAGTCCCAACATTCAGGTGCATGGTACTAGCAAAGGACATAAGAACAGCCCTGAAATAATCACTAGTGACCAGAGAATGGAGTTGACCTAAGTCAGCCTGCTCAAAGTGTGATCTGCGGACCAGCACCTGTCCACACATTTTTGTTACCGTCTGTGACAAGATAAGTATAGAAATTGTGAATGTAAGAAATGTATTGTAATTTAACAGGGTGATTGAATCTAATGTTAATAATAAAAAATTGAGGCTAATATTTTGTATGTCTTTGTTTTGTGTCAGTGTTTCAGTGACTCATCTTTATTGTATTCTACACAAGTATCAGTACACAGTGGGTGGGGGTGTGGCTCCTTCACCACACATAGTCTGAGAAACTACATGTTCCGTTGTGAAGGCTGGTACGCTATAATTTTATGTGTTAACTTGACTGGATCATGGGGTACCCAGATATTTGGCTAACCATTATTTCTGGGTGTGTCTGTAAAAGTGTTTCCCAGTGGCATTAGGATTTGAATCAGCAGACTCAGTAAAGCAGATGGCTCTCCCCACTGTGGGTGGGCATCAGTAAACCTCTTGAGTACCCGAACAGAACCTAAAATGAAGGAAGGAAGGAAGAATTCACCCCTTTTCCTGCTTGCCAACTTCAGCTGGAACATCAATGTTCTCCTGTACTCAGACTGAGACTTACACTACGGACTCCCCTGATTCTTAGGCCCTTGGATTTGGACTGAGCTACACCACCAGCTTTCCTGGGTATCCAGCTTGTGGAGGGCAGGTCAGAGGACTTTGTATCCTCCATAATAATGTGAGCCAATAATTCTTCCTAATAAATCTCTTCATACACACACACACACACACACACACACACACACACACACACACACATACACACACACATTTACCCTCTGCCGGGGTAAATGGTTGAAAACATTTACCAATAAGATATTGGTTCTGTTTCTCTAGAGACCCCTGATTAATACAGTGGGGGTTGAGTCAGCACCCTGGAAGCATAAGCAAGTGGAAACAGATCTAAGATGATATAGACAGAAAGTTTAGGAAGAAAGTGAGTGTTGCAGGTGCCTTTTAGAGGATAGTATCTCAACCCCAGTAATGTAGCTCAATGATTATAGCAAGATCCACTGGGTAAAACCAGCTACTACAAACCTGAGGGCATGCAAATATGTGGACCAACATGAAGGAGAGACATGTTCTCTCTAATACCGCTTCAAGAGGTCTAAAACATGAGAAGGGACTACGTGCCTCACTCTCCCTCACTCCAAGAATCTATACTTTAGCTTCAAAAGATTATATTCTACGAAATACGTAGCATAGCCACCACACCGTTTTACTGTTCACAATGCATACATATTGAAAATTTTGGGTCTGTTTCTTGTGCTGAAGCAATACAAAAAGTCATGAATGATGCAAGGTTCAGAGTGATGTTGTCCCATGAATTTTGTGTAGCTTCAAGTTCACTGGCCTTTAATTTCTGCTGCCATGGAAACTGTCCTGAATAGCACAGACTCTCAGTGATTTCCTGTAGGCAGAGTGACAACATATCTAAGAAGAGTGATGCTGTCTCTGTTACCATCAATCAATATTTATTGGACTCTGGCAGCCTGTCGTGAGCCACGCTGGAAGCTCTGCACTGAGGTTGCCCCCCGGCTTGTGTATGGTTGACCTGATACCCAGGAGGTCAGACAGGCGAAGGGCAGCAGCTCCAAAGTATGGCCAAGAATTAGGGCTACAAATTCTATAGAATTAGAGCTTTTGTGATTGAAGCACTAGGGTCTTGGTGAAAATTTAAAAACAGTCTAATTGTCGAGGTATGAACCAAAGGAATTTAGGTTCCATTAGAAACAATAACATTGGAATTACGTACTTTTAGAGTACGTATGTTTGGAAGATTCATTTTTCTTAATGTTCCTTACAGTCTTTTCTACTGTTTGACATTTCAGATTCTTATTCTATGAATAACCTTTTGTATTTCTGGAGCCTTTGTTATTTACCAAAGTGTTTTTCAGAGCCACTCAGCTTGAAATATCTACAAGTCAGGGTAAAGTTTCTGGATCAACTCCTTCTGTTGGGAGTCATGTCTTAATTATGAATTACGTCTTAATTATGGCTCTGTCATAAGTCCTTTCCCTACTTCTTCACCCTGTGTTTCGGTACATGGCCAGTTTCCTGGGACAAAGTGTCCCTTGGCAGTCTGAGATGTGGCCTTTACTCTTCTGTAAGGTTTTCCTTTCTGAAGTTCTATGTCAGCTCTTGCAGTTCACATTCTTGGTTCTCTTGCTTTTTCTGCTTCTTTTCCTATGAAAAAATAACAGTGAAACAAAACAGTATCAAAACTTAACATCATATCCTTCCCATACACTGCTCTTCTTGTCTGGAATTTTTTTGTTTAGTTGTTTACTAACTTTATCTTCTTGGTCCTGACTTTTCGGATTCTATAAGAAGAGTTAGTAAAATTGCCTCTTTGAGCTTTACCCCATTTTTTGATGTCTAGTTACTTATCCCATCTCTGTTTCCACTACAGTGTGAAAAAATTGATTGTAGCATTTAATCCATTATATTACACATACTAGTTTAAATGTCTGTCTCTGTATTTCTCTGAGAGCTCCTTCATGGAAGTGGCTACATTTCAATTACCCTGACATCTGCTTTAAGCTCAGTGATTTGTACCATACATATATATTTACTGAAATGAATGATACAATTAAATATAAGATTTAACAAAGAAAACAAATCCACTCTCTCTAACCTTACTGTTTTGTTCCTTGAATGTAGACTTTGCGTCTATAATCTTTTAGAGAGGACAGAAACTGGAGTTAAAATATCACACTGTTGTTGACCCTATATATCAGTATATAATATATACCCAAGCAATATTAGTTTATATTAGGTCATATTAAGTCACTTTATAATGTTGAATTAAAATTGTTAACACTCATGAAATAATGCCTGGATCCACCAAATGGTTCAATGATTCCAATTCTCGGCAGCAAATAGTGATGTTTTCAAAAGCTGTGAAATACCGTTGTTGTATCCAGAAAGCATGATTACAAATATCATATTGAGGCATTTTAGGTTTTGTGGAGATATGAAGGTTTTGGCAGT